TAGCGTCCTAGTGTACTGACTTACATCTCCATGGTTTCAAATGAGACCCACTTAGTGCTGTGATTGGTTCATCCAACTGAAGAGCATGACAGCAATGTTGAAGAAGCTCCAACATCGTCTATACGCAGGTGTCGAAGCACATACATTGTATTGTAAAAACAGCTAGTGGTAGATTACGGCTGCGTATAGCTGGCTGAAAGAAGACGCTCAGTTTCAATTGGAGAAGAAAGAGCAAAAACGTTTGAGAAGCTGGGGCCCAAGGCGCAAGTGGTCACTATCTGTCCGGGACAGCGAGCTGGTTCAACACAGGCTGTGATATGAGCCAATGGACGAAAGAACTAGTCTTATTAGCCTTATTCTTAAAATGCTGAGGCTAGATCAAGCCCTAACGAATATATAAAAGTAAATCAGCCACCTGTGGCCCAAGCCTGTTTGCCACAAAGCCGTTTAACGCTAAAAGAGAAATCATAGATAAATAATATGTATACTATCAGTATAGGAATGAATGCAAGTAAAGAGGAATATAATATAATAGAATAGAATATGAAACAACCGGATTTCAGTACGTATAAGGCTATCAGTTCAAAAGGATTGAGTGCCCGGGAGAAATTACCGGTAATAGCGGAAATACTAGGCTGAATGATAATAAAAATCTAGGTTGTATGCGACAGGTTGATGAGATCAGTAAATAAGTAATCGAGAACCCAAATGATCTCTGTGTTAAATGAAGAATCTCCCAACCTACCGAAATTCAAGTTAGAGAGGAGTGAAAGAAAGAAATTACCATCTTGGATGCACCAGTTATATCTAGGGCAATGGACAAGATTGAATTGTGAAAAAAGACAGGCGCTACTGGCGATCGGCCAGATCATAAAACGCAAAATAAGACATTTTAAATTGATGCGGGCTTGAGCTAGCAACCGGGCGGTACAAGTAGAGGCGTTAGGCCACTTTGTGTCCTTTCTTGATGTGAAATTTTGTGTCTATTTGCCAGGCTACGTGTCTGCCACACTCGGGTCGGTGGGCAAAGGCACATTAATTGCAGCCACCTCAAGCAATGGGCTCAAGGGGTCAGAGGTTCCTGAAGTTTCCGGTGCGCTCTCAGCAGAACTCGGATACAAAGGAGGGGAGGATGCGGCAGAGGGCACAAGTATTTTTGATGCAGACGAAGTTTCTGTCGCCTCGGAAGCATGGCCGAGCCGGACGACCTCAAGGGCCTGGCAAACTTGGTCTACTTTCACATCCTCTTGAACGTGCGTAAGTATTTGACAATCGAGGTGGCTCGAGGTGAAGTGGAAGGCCGGCGTCACCCAAGTGCCACAAGGACAGGGTTCGCCTGATATTGAAGATCGCCATCATGGCAGCCGGCAAAATAAGAGGAAAGATGCAATGGCTAAAATGTTGAATTCAAGTTTA